GCGTTCTGAAAGTTGCGACCGTGCATGAAAGGTACTTGCAAAATAATCAATATCATTATTTTCGAAGGACACAAATATGAAACTACAATTGAATCGCGTTCAAAAATGAATCACCAGGTAAAAGCGAATGGATAAAATTCAAAACACAGCTAGCCACTGTCGATACAACTAGAAACAAGATACAAAATAAGGCTCGGAAATTCATGAAGGTTTCAGACGTTTCATTTTTAAAGTTAGTTTTTTCTGTTCATCAAAGAAAAACAACGGAAGCATTCCAATAATGCATCCGATTGTTAAGCCAAGTGCTCTACCAAGGTTTGTCATGAACTGGACTCTGGCACTTTTCCATTGAGCTTCAGAGAGAGATGGTAGAGAAAGACCATACCGGGAAGCAATATTCTCAATATAGTAAGCGAAGCCAATGCCACTGACATCAGAGAGGAGATTCCCCATTCCGGCAGCGGCCATTGTGGAAATGTTGAACAATATTCCCAAAGACATGTCGATGTATTCACCAGACAAGATCATGATGAAATTATCCAGAAAACCAAATCCAATGAAGGGAAACACATTATAAAAGAAGAGAGACCTCATCTGGGCAGTCGACATGCTTGTACATTCGAGATGAGTGACAGGACTATGTTCGAAGCGCCTCTTAAGAGCATCGTATAGCATACTTCTTTCCATTTGACTCATACGACTGACGAACGCGTCGGCATCTTCATTGGATTTCAAAAGCAAACAGCACGTTGGTGAAACCCTTCGGGTTGCAACACATGATATTTTAATGCAATGAAATGAAAGAATTTTCAAGCACTGTCGATAACCATGTCGCAATCGGTAGAGTGTCATAAGAGCTACAAAAATATCTAAAATATTTCAGACAAACTTATTAACAGACCCGGAAAAAGAATAAGTGTTTTCATTTCAAACACAACGGAACGATTGAATGAAAGGATTAAACACGGAAGAAAGTTTATTTTTAAAACATTGCGAAACGACACACTGATTCTACCAACGGTTTGAACCTCGGACTCTTCCTCTGTAACCAGCCCTGTTCGCGCCAAAAAATTCTGTTCGCCCATAGCTTTGTTGTCCCATGTCAGAGTAATTAGGAAAATTTGCTTGAACGCTGCCAAATGTTTGATATGCTTGCTGATGTTGATACTCGCCACCGCCAATGTATGGGGCATTTCCATATCCAACAGGAGATGCACTGTAGCCTCCACCGCGGTCTGCTCTTGCATTCCATCCGCCCTGCACTCGAGAATCCCCCGCAGCGCTGCCTAAATCATGTACTTCCTAAATCCTAAATCATCACGTGCAATCAAATTCAAAACGCGTCTCAAGATTCAAATTAAAACGAATCTAATCAAACACTGAAGCTCAATTAAGCAAGACAAAATCGACTGCACGCAAATCAACAAATCACGAAAACAAGCAAACGTCAATCACCCAGGAAGAAACAGAATCAGCGCAAAATGGGTTGCCTTCGCGAAATCTAGTTTGTACGAAAACGCACCCAAACGACAATAGGCTAAAGCAAAGAAGGATTAAAGATAAATTTGTCATCTCATTATTACCTACTATTGCAACATTACATCGGATCTATTATCGAAATTTCTTCCTGCGTTTTCCAAATTATTAGTAACCCTTACAATTCGATTATAAATTTTCATTTACTCTCTACCATTTTCCCAGAAGTCGAACGTTCTGTTAATGACATGCAGCACCAAAGTATCGGTAAATCACTGGAAATCATACAACCGTATTTCTCGAAGCCATTGGTTTATTTCGGTTTTATTTACTTATCGCTAATCTTTTCTACAACACTTCTTCAATTTATCTTTTGCAGACTTTCACTGGATGTTCAAACGCACTTGTAAAACAAACACAATCTGGTTCATTTCAGTAAAGGTTTGTCCTTCGATAAGTCACCTATAACAGCTTCATTCATATCGTAGCTTTTAACTCGAATTTATCATTTATTTAACTTGTGCCCGCCGTCATTTTTCACGTGATCCTGATCAAATAGTAAAACCAACTTACTAACTTTGTACTGAATGACCTTTGGCACCATTTTTGATTCCATCTGTTATAAAATACAATTACGGCCCAGGAGTACAAGGGGCTGAAATTGGTTCTCCGAGAGGAATCGCTGAGCCTGCATGTTTCAACATGGTTCAGAGTTCTGATAAGTGAGAGCTTTGTAGTACAGCTTCTGTAGATTAAGAAGTCAGAGCTATGAAGGTTTCGGCACTTTTAGCGATGTTTCAGAAAGGAAGGCGAAACAGCTACTACTTGCTCAACTGTCCGACCGAAGAATAACCTCGGCAGTTCTCAAAAAACTCTATTCCAGACTCGGGTTATCCTTGGTCGAAGCTCAAATGCTGGCACAAGGCCAGAAACGTCGAAGGCACTGTCTGACATGCCTACCTGCGCGACCCAAAAAAATATGCGAACATCAACACTGACTGAATGACAGGTAAGACGTAATTCAATATCGTGATTAACATGAAAAACGATACTTTAATACTGCGTCTCAGACTATGCCTGACTGATAACTTTTTATTTTGAAATTTACTACTGATTTATAATTATTATACAAGCTTATAGATAAAATTCTTAAAGAAGCCATTTTAACAGGCCGCATAAATTTATTTCCTAAATTATCACAGTTTCTTCATAAAGGCAAAATATTACTCTTATTTCAGCCTCCTACTAACTGTCTTCATGAGCATGATATTAAATCGTATGGTCGTGGCATCAAATTTAAATACAAAATAGTGCAAGGATAAAATAAAAAACTTAAAAATTACGCTGCATTCCGTAATCTTGCCGTTGCGACTGTGGAAACGATCCTCCACCACCCCCTCTTCCTCTGCCGCGGCCCCTGCCACGTCCAGAATCAACTCTTTTTTGCCATTCAGGCATTTCAGGAGGAGGCGCCACGAT